TACTCTTTTTTTAAATAATTTAATAGGTGAGTTATGTTCAGCTACTCCTCTTAGGGGGGGAAAAAAAAAAACTAAACAGGGATGATGAATATCAAGCTCATCTACATCTGGTAGGAAATCCCAGAAAAGTAATTCCCAAAGTGCACTGGTTCTACAGCCATCCCATCTCTGCCCCCACCCCACCCCCCAAAAAAACAACAAAACTATGCAGGACATAGGTTAAAAAAGACACTGTCAACATGAACAGGTAACAAGTCTGCTCCCACATTTAGGGTACTAAATGGGTGAGCATGTGCTGGACAAACGTTCAAGGATGAGAGGGCCACACTCTTCTTGAATCAAGGTCCCTAGAAGAGCTTCTTTATTCTGGAGTGAGTACATGTTACTATTTTTTAAAGACTATAATTAAACCAGAAAGTTGGTCCCTAGTTTTCTGAAGTTATTCAGCACTGAGCTACAATTTTAGCAAAACACTTACTATACCTGCACATATTCATTTAGCAGTTTCATATTTATAAATGTGATAAATTACAGAGCTGATTGTTCATATATCTGCATTTTCAGGTCCCCCACAGGCAAAAGCTTGTAAGTCAATCAACATCTAATTAACTGTTTTAACTTCTCAATAGACATTAATAATACAACTTTATAGTTATATTACTTTTCTCAAAGTGCTTTCATATACATTACCTCATAGTTACCAAATGATATGGAACAATAAAGTTTGCTTTTTTTTTAAGAAAAAGGAATGTAGGACTAGGTTTTTTAAAACTTAAGCTGTTATTTCTTTATTACAAAGTGCAGATTGCTGTGTCGCTGAGGTCTGTCCAAAAGAATGACCCCATATAATTTTTTAAATTACTGAGTTCTACTGAATGCCTGCTTTGCTAGTGTTGCCATTACTCAACATTCAAGTCCCTTAAGGTCAGGGAGTGACAGGAACGTGTGCTTTAGAAAGTGTGCAGCACTGTGCAGACTGATTGTCTGAGCCATTTTTTTTTTTTTTTTTTTTTTTTTGCAGTGTCTCACAAGGCAACAGGAACGGTGGAAAGACCCCACAATGAGAAAGTGAATAAGACCCAACTCTAGCCTTGGCTCTGCCACTAATTAACTGCTCTGAGAATATGGGCAAGTAACTTAACCATCCTCTCTTCCAATTTCTTAAGCTGTAAAAAAAAAAAAAAAAAAAAGAGTTGGGGTATTGCTAGTGTTCACACAGTGCTGGGTGTCTGAAACACCTGGAGAGATTCTTGGAAAACACACTGGCTGAGACCCAACCCCCACAGGGAATTCGTGATCTGGGGTGAGGCCGACGCATCAGGTTTTTTGTTGTTTTTCTTTTTTTAAACCCCAGGAAATTTTGTTGCACATCCTTGGCTAAGACTCACTGGAATAAGTGTTAATGATAATAGTAGTAGTAGTTAACATTTATGGAGTACTCATTACATGCCAGGCACTCAAGCTAACTATCCTACACACATTATCTCATTTAATCCTTACAACAACCCTGAGGTAGTTACTATTATTATCCCTGTTTTCCAATGAGGAAACTAAGGCCCAGGAAGGTTAAGTGACTTGCCTTCTAGACTGGCTTTAGAGTCTAAACTCTTAACCACTATCTAAACTGTATCCTTGAAGCTCAAAATCTCCATGATTTTGTTAAATAAATATGGGTGGTGCCTTAGGAAAGTCAGCATTTTATTAACTGGGCACTATTTTACTAGCTAACTTGCAACTGAATTGTAAGAAAATTCTAACTTAAACCCCATAATTCAGCTGAGAAAGGGTCTCCACTATAAGAACCTCAATGTCATCTGGAGAAACACTGAATAAATTTCTCAGGGCCAATTTTTTTTTAAGGCTATATCTCTGAAAGTCATGATGGAGATCTGTAGGAAAATATACACATTTTTACACAAAGCCTTTTAAGAAAATACTTCACGTAAAGCACAATCAAGATGTATTCTAAACACTGCATTTTAAGGTAGTAAATCTAACCGGAAATCATATTATCTGTGCATGAAAAGACTGAAGGTGTGGTAACCCCAAAGGTATACAATACGTATAACCACTTTAGAAAGTTTTCAACACCTTGTAGAAGGGCTTTTGCTATCTGCTTTGTTTTCAAACTAGATAGAATTAAACTACATTTTTAGTTTCTAAAAGCAGTTTTCTCTGCTTTGAATTCAAACTTTTAAATTTACCTATGGTTATTTTAAAAATCTGGTCCTTTTCAAGTAGATCATGGAAAAAACCTAAGTTACACTTTTATAGTAAGTTGACAGTGCCTCTTTAACCTGAACCCTGAGCCCTCAACTCCTGAAGTTACACAGTTAAAGCATCACGTGGCTGGGTGTGCTACAACAGTCAATGCTACTCTTGACAGTGATGAGAAAAAAATCCATTCTATTCATGAACATACTGAGCACCTACTGCGGACGAGGCAGAGCCAGGTGCGGCACCTGAGAAAGACCCAGCCCCCACCCTCAAAGACTGTTCTTCGATGAGAAAACCAGGGAGCTTAAATACACTCAGTAGTGTTCCTCCAAGGTTTATTTTCAGAGCACTCAAGAAAAGATCCCTTGCTTTAAAAAAAAAAAAAAAAAAAAAAAATTCCCCTGAAAAACAATTAGAATCCCTCAAGTTGCATCCACAATGACAGGGATAAACTTAAAAAGCAGCATAACAATATTCCAAAGTTTTAGCTTTCCCTGCCCCACCCTTAAAAGGCTAATTGCTAAAACGATTTCAAGTTTATGGAAATACATGATGAAGGAGAGTGGCAAAGAAGAAGGCAGGAGGACTGTTGGTTTTTAAACCCAAGTTAAAGGGAACTCTTCCAACCATTACAAGGAGATCAGCCAGATCACTAGTTGCCTGTAGGTAACAGACAGACAGGGATCACCCAACCCCTGAAAGGAATGCCCGGTATTGTCTCCTCCCTTCTTATCCTTCTCTTGGCCTGGGACTCCTCTGGAACACCCACGGTAAGAATCAGTTCCTTTCTTTCTAATGAAAACTAAATTTCCTCCTTGGTCAAAGATGCCAAACTCTATCCAAAACGCTTTTCCCCCCTTAGTATTCTAGCCCAATTAGTATAATCTCAGCAGTTTTAAATTTCATTATCGGCTGCTGAGCAAAGAAGAGAATGAAAAACTTGTATTCACATATAACAATACCACACTGAGGAGCTTTCCAGAGAGGCTCTCAAAGGGATAATTATACACTTATTTGCAAAACACCCTTGATAACATGTATCATTACCTCCATTTAATAGATTAAGAGACGGGGCTATGGCCTGACAGTGGATCGATGACAGAGCCAGGAAGAAAACTCACTGTTCATCAATGTTGAATTCCTATCTTCCTAAGTTAATATTCCTTTGGGAGGAAAAATTAATGTATTTTTTTTATATTGCGTTCTCCTTGGAGGCAGGAATGGAGAGGGCATAAAGTTTTAAAAAGAGAATGAAGTGGTCACTGGAATTAGACCTGATATCGAAAGTATTAATAATATCTAACCAATTAGACTTGGTTCTAAATTAAGAAGCGATCCTAATTAACTTCCATAACAATAACTGAATAGGGAAGGAAAAGGAATCATTAGGTTTCTGGGATCTAATTGGTGTCCCCCGAAAATAACTTGTTCCTTCAACTACGCATTCTTAAAATAGAGGTGAAATGATAAAATAAATATCAAAGAATATTCCCAATATGATCTTTACAAACAAGCACAACAACTGGCAGGGGGAGTATGTGAGAGGAGAAAAGCATGTGAGAATAATTTAGGGTGATGCATTTGAAACCGTACAGTGAGAGAATGCTTCTCCCTATTCTCCACCTAGATTGGGTCTAAGGTGATAAGGGAGGGAGGGGAAACAGCCATTAGGACCAAGCCAGCTTCTCCACTCAGTCTCAGACCTCTGGGCTGACCACTGGGTTTCAAGAAGACACCCTTTCCCTGGCATTTTAGTTGATAAAGAAACATATAGCTGCTCAAGTCCTTTGCCGGTATGTCAGTATGCAGGGGCACTGTAACAGAAAAGGATTCCCCTGTGAGACCTGTACATGACCACTGTTTTCAATAATGTTCAGTGTTGGTTAATGCCCTGAATGCTGCCAGGAAAAAAGGAAGACAGGCTGCCCAGCAAGGGGGAGAAAAGAATTACCAAAGAGACTCCTATGCCTATGGTTTACAAGATAGGCACCAACAAGAGGAAAGCCAATCCTGGTCCATTTGGAAACAATATATTAGCCTGGGAGAAGTGGCTTCTGCTAAGTAATGTAAGATTTTAGGAGAAGGTTTCAATCTCCCTAAATATACTTCCTAGCATTCTTTACCTCCTGTACCAATTAATACACCAATGGAAAACAGGACAGAAGCAAACAGAACCACATTTCCCAGTTTTGCATCTAGCCATCTGATCTGCAGTTCTTACTGCAGCAGTGACCTGTGGAAGCGAGGCTAACAGCAGCTTCCAACAGCCTTGAACAAAACTTCTCTTGGCACATTCCCAGCTTTCTTCTGTCCCACCCAATAAGTTAGATGAGTTGGAGCATAATCACCATTAGGACCTACTGGGGCCCCAAGTCAATTCCCTTCTGTGTGGTGCAGAATGAGTGCCACAGCCAATGCACTGTCTGGGCACAGTCCCTGCAGCCCTGCTGGAGCAGCCCTAACCAGCTCACATCACTCCAGGTAAGAACGGGCTGGATTTGGTTCTTCATGGCACGACATATGCATGTTCCCTGATGTCCCAGTGCAGCTTCCAATCCGGTCCACAACTGGCCTGCCCCCATCTATTTTCCCTCTCCTATGGGTTTTGCTTTTTGTTATTTGTGAGATGAACCTGTAAACGTGAGAACTCAGAGATCTGAGGTACTTCACAGAAACACACTCAAGTATCAGTCTTCCACTTTTTGAAACGAGAACACAGGAAAGCAAGTCCCTTTTCCTCTCCCCTCAGAAATGTGTGCATCTTCCCACCCGGCTAACGGTGGCTACCTCTGCACCACATCACTGATTTCCTGTACACATGACAGTAAGTTGTTAAGGACAGGGTTTGCCCCGGGCACACCAGCAGCTGCAGAAGACACCTGCAGCTCCTGCAGGCTGAGTTCCAGTTTGCTCACAGCCTCGCGGAAGGCAAATTTGTTGCGAGTTTGGGGGATGCAGTCCACATAGCCTGAGCAGTAGTCGAGCAGCTGGTGTCCAGTGTCCACCAGCTGGCTGTTGGGCACAGGTTCCGTGATTGCACTGGACAGTAGGTCAGCACATTCCAGCAGGGCCTCCTTACTGATTTTCTCAGCTGAGATTTTCTCAGCCACCTGTCTGGTTTTTCTCAGAGCCACTTTAGTACCCGCTGTGCCATTGGCCATTTTCACTGGCGAGATGGAAGATGTGGGCAGAGGCACTTGAGGTGGAGGCATTACAGGCCTCCCAGCTTTCCCACTGATGGGCACTGCCCCTGGAGCCGCCTTCTTCCCTCCCTCCTGTGTTTCTGACGTGGGCTCTTCTGTGGAGTCTGAGCACACGGCCGGATGCTGCAGTAGTCTCACCCCTGGCGGCGGGGGTGGGGCACACTTTGGTTTTACCCGGCGGGGTCGGTCCTTGTCTCCAGAGGAAGTGACCTGATGCTCAGATAAGAGCTTGAACTTATTCCCCTGAGAGTCTGTGCCAATAAGCTGCACGTCAGCTGGAGTGTGCTTCAGAGTGGGTGAGATAAGGACTGGCACTTTGTGGTTGTGAGTGGTTGGGAGGACCGCCGCAGCCTTGGCTGGGGCAGCCCAGCCTGTCTGTTCGCCATCCTCTGGGACTCCAGCCATGCCAAGTCGTGCCCCACCATTCCTCTCTCTGCTCTTGGGGGCAGCTGCCACTCCAGCCACCCCCAGCCCTGGAGAGTCCTTCTCTGTAATGGCTGGGTCCCCAGAGGGGGGTTTGAGAGGAA